ATTATACAGCTCCCCTATTAAATCACTGTTGTTGTTATGTGCCATCAAGCCACTTGCAACTCATAGCAACCCTGTGGTACAACAGCTCTGAACTCTGCTCTATCCTGTGCTAACCTTATTGTCTCTGACACATCTACCATATTACCCCAGTCACTGAATCAATCCATCTCATCGAGGATCTTCCTTTCTTGCACTGTCCCTCTACCCTCCCAAGCCTGATGGCCCTCTCCAAGAACTGGTCACTCCTTGCAACATGCCCAAAGTATGTCAGATGAAGCCTCAGAATCCTCATCTTCAAGGAGCAGCCTGATCTCACCCTCTCTAGGACAAACCTGTTTGTTCTTCTAGCAGTCCATGGTATATTCAACACTCTTCTCCAGCACCACAGATCAAAGGCATCAATTCTCTTCCTATCATCCCTGGTCATTGTCCAGATTTCTGATGCATAACAAGTAATTGTGAAGACCATGGCCTGGATGAGGCACACCTTAGTCTCCAGACTGGTGTCGTTGCTCTTCAGTACTCTAGAGCAGTCCCTGACAGCAGACTTTCCCAATGTAATTCTCCTTTTGATTTCCTGGCTGCTGATACCAAGAGTATTGATTGTGGAGCCAAGTAAAGAGAAACTGTGAATAATCTCAATCTTCACCATCTGTCCTGACGCTGCCAATTAGCCTAGTGGTGAGAATCTTTGTTTTCTTGATGTTGAGCTTCAATCCATATTGAAGGTTGCAGTCCTTGACCTTCTGAAGTAAGATTTTCAGGTCCTCCTCAATTTCAGCAAGCAAGGTTGTGTCATCTGCATAAAACAGAATGCTGATGAGTTTACCTCCAATCCTCATCCATATTCCGCCTCATAGATCCCAGCCTCCCGAATGATCTGTTCTGCATATAGACTGAAAAGGTATAGAGATAGGATGTATCTCTGATGTACACCTTTTCTGATTTTGAACCATACAATGTATCCTTGCCCTGTTCTCATGACTCTTTCCTGGTCCAAGTATAGGTTTCACATACATACAGTCAAGTGTTCTGGGATTTCCATTCTTCTCAGAAACAGCCACAGTTTGTTGTGATCCACAGAGTCAAATGTCTTTGCATAATCAATGAAACACAGATAGACATTCTTCTGGTACTCTCTGCTTTCAACCAAGATCATTTTAATATTATCTATAATATTCCTAGTACTGTAGCCTCTTCTAAACCCAGCCTGCACATCTGGCAGTTCTCTGTTGATGTGCTGTTCCAGTCATTTTTGGATCATTTTCAGCAGAGTCTTGCTTGCGTGTGTTATTAATGATATTATTTGATAATTCCCACACTCTTTAGGGTCATCTTTCTTTGAAATGGGAACATTCCAGTCAGTTAGTTGGCTGGGTGGTTGTCCTCCAGATTTCTTGGCACAATTTGGTGCAGCTTCTGTTTATTGAAATATGTCAATTGGTGTACCATCAATTCCTGAGGCCTTGTGTGGTGGGTTTTGTGGTTTGTTTGTTTGTTTGTTTGTTTTTGCCAATTCTTTCAGAGTAGCTTGAACATCTTCCTTCGTCACCACAAGCTTTTTCCATACATTGCTTCTTGAAATTCAACTGTGCCAGTAAATGCCTTTTGGTACAGTGACCCTTTGCACTCCTTCCATCTTCTTTTAATACTTCCTGGCTCATTTACTATTCTGCCCAAAGCATCCTTAAGTATTGCATGCAACTTGAGGCTTAAATTTTTTGTTCTTCAGTTTCTTCAGCTTAAGAAATGCCAAATGTACCCAGCCCTTTTAATTTTCTGACTCCACCTCTTTGCAGATTTCATTATAATATTTTACTTTGTCTTCCCACACTGCCCTTTGAAATCTTCTGTTCAGCTCCTTAACTCCTTCCCTTCGCTTTGGCTTCTCCACACTCCAATGCAATATTCAGAGTCTCGTCTGACATCCATCTTGGTGTTTCTTCTTCCTTTTGTATTCTTTTTTTTTTTTTTCAGAAGACAAAAAGTGCAGCTTTTAATGTGGATTACATTTCAATCCTTTTGTATTCTTCATGGATGATATTCTTGATATCCTCCCACAGCTCATCTGGTCTTTGGTCATTATTTTTCAAGGCCCTAATCCTGTTCCTGAGATGGTTTTGAAATTCAGGTGGGATAGATGCAAATCAATCCATGATACCAACTCACTGCTGACTTATCTATAAATAATACCAAAGCCAACCCACTGCCATCAAGTTGGTGTGACTCATGGCAGTTATCTCTGCTCCTCTCAAGGCCTTGAGTTTGCGACTGGTGGTCTAGCCAAATTGTCTGTTCCTTCCTAATTGAAATCATGATACAAATCTCTTTTTTGCCAAAATAGGGCTGAGTGTGTCATCTTGGCTTCAACAGTTTTCCCTTCCTTACGGTTGCTCCCAAATCAGCATTATACAAACATTAATCTTTAGTCAGAACCTTCCTCTCAGCAACAACTGTGCTCACTCCTGCACACGTACACATGTACATACACATCATACTACACACTCCATGAAGAGACTTTTTTGCATGGACTCTTCTTCTAAAGCATAAACGTTATGGATTAAGGGAAGAGATCACCCTTCCATCCAAGGGCATGCAGGCAGACCTCATAAGGCGAATTCTTGTGTTGATCTTTCTAAAACATACTTGTGATTATATCACTCTCCCACTCAGATCCTTCAAAAGTTGGCCATTGCCTCCCATGTTTCTGTGGGTTTTAATTTTTCTTGTTGTGTACTGTCAAACTGGATCCAACTGGCACAAGAAGAGATTTCCCCTCTTCTCCAGGGGAGCATCTGGTGGATTCGAATTGTGTGCCTTTGAAATTGCAGTGCAGCTTCTTGCCACTAGGCCACCAAGTTTCTTTAATTTTTTTTTTTTTAAACAACAACAACAAAACAGGCTACTCTATAAAAGTGAAGTCTTAAAACAACTATGAGATATCATCTAACCCCAGTCAGAACAGCAAAATTTAACAGAACAACAAGCAACAAATGCTGGCAAGGTTATGGAGAAACTGGAACCATTATTCACTGTTGGTGGGAGTGTAAAATGGAGCAACCACTGTGGAAAATGGTGTGGTGCTTTCTAAAACAAGTTGCAAATAGAGATACCATTTGACCCAGCAATTTTACTACTGAGAATATACCCTAAAGAGACCATAACCAACATCCAAGGAGATATATGCACACCCACGTTTATTGAGGCTTTGTTCACAATAGCAAGAAGTTAGAAACAATCCAGGTGCCCATCAACAAATGAATGGATAGAGAATCTGTGTATATTCACACAATGGAATACAATGCTGCATTGAAAAACAAGGAACTCATGCAATATTATTCATAATGGGTGACCCTGGAGGACATTATGCTGAGTGAAGTATCTCAGTCACAAAAGAACAAATACTGCATAGTGCCACTGTTGTAGAGTGGGACTGACATCAGGGTTGGGGTAAGACTGAGAAAAACTGGATAAATTTTGTATACTTCATTGAAACAGATGAGGGAGAGAACAATTTAAAAGCGATATATGGTAGGGTATTATGGTTATCACAAGAGTCCAGAATTAAGGTTGCATAGTGGACTGTACTTGGGGCGGGGGGATTGTATACCAATGAAATAATTTTACTTTTCAAAGAGAGGAGTGAACTGGAGGGTGTGGCGCTGGGCAGGGAGAAAATGAGTGAATGGAAATCCAAAATATCTGTAAATGTTCACTAAAATTAATAAAATAAAATAAAAACGCCTTAGAGGGAACCACAAGCATGGCAAGAAATTTATTCAAGCCTGCGAAAATTAAAGAAGGTGAAAGGTAAAAGGATACAACAAAGGAAGTTAAGGAATCCAGCCATCTATCCTTTCTCACTGGTCCCCAACATTGCCCACTGGACACTCTCCCAAGAATATTTTAACCTTCATTGAGCATAGGGCTCCTTTTGACATGCACTGGCCTATGCAAGTACTCAAAGGCCTCTATGATCTTTCACTTATTTTCTCTCCAGTACTCTTGAGTACAAAGGAGCTCTGGTAGCCTCGTGTGTAAGGAGTTTCTCTGTCAAGTTCTAGGGGAGTGGTTCAAATCTACTACCTGCCCCAGGGAGAAAAACGGGCAATTTCTTCTCATGTGATTTATAGCCTCTGAAAACACTGGAAAGTTAGCTCTCAGTCAGATTCAACTTGACAGCAACAAGAATAAGGTTTTCTTCTTGAGTCCCAGCAATCCACACACCTAATACTCTACAAACTTAGAGAAACAATGAAAGTTATACGTGTTCAGGACTTTTGTTCAAAGGGTCGCTATGAGTCATCTGTGACTTGACGGCACTTAACACCACCACAATATTTCTACTATACCAGTCCTCCCACCACTCTTCAAACCCATCCTAAATTCACCCCCTGTCCACTAAATCCACTTCAATCCCATCCTAAATCCACCCTCCTCCCCTTGGATCCTCATACTCATTCCACAATAATGGTTTTATACAATATTTATCCTTGTGGAACCGAGTTAGTTTACCCAGCATAATGCTCTCCAGTCCCTCCCTAGTTAGGTAATAATTTACAAAATCATTGCTCACTCCTTTTGTTTGAAAGTTCCTTGAGCCCTGGTACTACAGCATTTAAGTAAGCGCTTGGCTGCTAACCCAAATACTTAGCAGTTCAAACCCACAATCTGCTCTGTGGGTGATAGAAGTGTGGCGGTCCACTTTCACAAAGATGGCATCCCTGGCAGCCCTCTGGAGAAGTTCTCTGTCCTATAAGTTCTCCGTGAATCATAAATGACTCAACAACATTGAGTTTGTGTTTTGGTTTTGCACATGACTCTCATTCCCAATCTTGTAAGACTGAACATTTTACAAACACCTTGACTTTTCTATTTCTGATTAACCTTTGCTGCCCAGCGTAGGCTCCCAAACATTGTTGAGTTTTCACTGTAAGTTCTCCTGACCTTCAAAAGCACAACTTGCTCACAAGTGTCAACTTTGTCATTACAGGTCTACCATGTGCACCAGCCGTGACTGTGACCTAGAGGAAATACCCCTGGATGATGATGACTCAGACAGCATTGAATTCAAAATCCTGGCTTTTTATGCCAAACACCACGTCTACAAAAACACCCCTGCCGTCTACTCATCAAAGCTGACGAGAACAAGAAGTTTATCCCAGAAGGGCCTGGGGAGTTGGTCAACAAGTGACCCATGGACACTGGTGCCCAGACCTCCTAGAACTTCCCAATCCACTGACAAGTCCTTTGCCAAGAAGTCTCCTTGGAGAGTATTATTTGAAGGAGGAACACAGAAAGAAGATTCTAGAGAATTACATAATCAAGGAGTATTTGAACCTGAGGGTTTGAGTATTCAACGTTGGTCCAGACTCCGTTTTAATGCAGGACCCCACATAGAACCAGAAGGTAGGCTTTTGGGAATTCTTTCTATCACCTCCTCAGATCTCTCCCTTCTTTGTGCACCGTAGTCCATCTCCTAACTAGTAACATGGGGTCCCTACCCGCTGTAGGCAGCGTGCTCATAGTTGCCCTGCTTTTTCAAGACTGAGCAGAAAAGACAACCATGGCAGTGGAGGATGCAACTGGCTTTCTGGCTATAACCTTGCTGCCCAAATGTCTCATTCTCTTGGAAATGAATGTAAATCAGACAACCAGACTTCTGTTCTTTCTGAAATGGGCCTCTTCCTTTCTGTCTGAACTCTAGGGGTATTCCCATTCTCCCCAACTTTTAGAGTTGATGGAAAAGGCAGATAGGTATGAAAATACTTTAAAAACCCAATCCAAGAGAAAAGGGGTGGGGGAGACACCAACAAACCAATCAATGAAAACAACTGAGAAGCAGTTTGACAAAATCCTCACACACACACACACACACACACACAGAGAGAGAGAGAGAGAGAAAATCTGTGAGGGGAAGAAAGCATATGACTTTACCACGGGGACTTGTTCTTCTTCCACAAATTTTGGCATCAACTTCTTCACTTTCATTTATGTCCAATGCCAAAAGCACAGATTTTAAAAGCAAGTTTCCTTCCTGCTGAATTTATTCAGCCTGGGTAACTTATCAATAATTAGTCAACAGGTGGCAGTAATGTTTCAATTTAAAAATATGATGCTTCCGGCTTGGCGAATCAAACCACACATGGTCAACATTAGATCATTCACTATGATCAAGGAAAACACTCATTATCAATCAGGAGTTCGGGGTTGCATGAGGAACCTTAACGAACAGCTAATGTAAGGAAGGAAGAATCCCACAGAAAAGACAAGTCTGAGGGAAACTCTGCCAACTCATGCCCAGCACAGAATCCAGAGGCCCAACCTCCTCTCCGTCCTCTCTTCATTCCCTCTCAATTTTCATGTGCTTAGCAGATGTCATCAACTCTGACAAGAAGGAAATCTCTCCTTTAAAAATAAATATATTTTAAAAATCCGAATATTCAAGATGGAACTCTTAACCCAAACAGTTCACTTGGGTTAAAATGTGGTTCTTTACAGTTTTTCCACAGGAGAAGGATGGGCAATCTCCTCCTGTGTGATTTGCTGCCTCTGAAACCTTTCTGGAGGCTCAGCTATGGGTCAGTTCTGACTTGATGGTATATAATAACAACATAGTTCTTTCAACATGTATTTCATCTTCGTTCCTTACTCCATAACCATAACTTCATAAAGAAATAAACTTTGCACACATGCAAAAGCTTCTAAAAGTAAAAATCTTAGGGACAATCAATAATGACCTAATTTCTTGTTAAACACATATTTAGACAAGTCAGTGGAAGCACGGGAGCAAAGTTACTGACTGACCTGATCCTCATGCAGAGAGCAAAACTGACTTGCCTTTCTAGGTGGAAACATTCAGGAAACCAAATATCCCCAAATAAATATAATAATGTATGTGCAAATATATGATCTCTTTTCCTGAATTCTAGATTGTTAATGGTCCTGGATTGCACTTCATGCATCCTTATCTACCTAGTTGACTATGGATGTATATGAGCCAGGAGAGTTAGATGCTTGCTTACTTACTGGGAACTTGGGAGATGAATATGGCCTGAGAGTGGGGTTATTTCTCTTTCCTCAATGACCAACCCCCAAAGGCTTGTCAAACTCCTGAATACCCGCCTCTGCACACAGGGGCCAGCTCCCTGAGGTATAAAAGATGTTCAAAAAGAAGAATAAAAATAAAAGCATAATGAGCATTCCTTCAGCCAAAGTACTAAGTGCTCTCTTTTGTGTTTCTTCCCTTGCAAAGGGGAAAGGGGACCCTAATTTTTTGAGACTTCAAAAAGAGGGTGCAGAAGGGCAATTGTTTCAAGGTGACAATCACGCCTCTGTGTGCTCCTCCCCCATCCCAGCCTCTGCCAGGCAACTGCCAGTCTTGTCTGAAGAATGACGCCCCCAGCCCCCATTCTCAGGCAATTTCCTCTCATTCTGGGCCCTTCTTTTCACTCTGAGCAACTGTGCATACCAATGAGCACGACAGAGGAGTTCTTCTGGGAAGGGCCTTTTTCAACACCATTTTTATCTTTTTTCAGCCGTGAACCCCAAAGTTGTTTCCATTGCCAACCGAGTTGCTGAAATTGTTCATTCCTGGCCACCCCCAGAAGACAGCCACACCCAGGGAGCAAGCTCCAAGTTCAAAGGAAGAATTAAACGACAGGGTCTCATCTACTCCCCCAAGTGCCTAGTCACTGAGTCTAGTGACACAAGCACTAAGAAAGGTAAACTTTCCTTCTTCTGATGAGCTGAGTGTTTATGAGGTTGAGATATCCAAATATTTCTGTATTTGTTCAGCTCATCACTTTGCAATTGGGCAATCTCTATGGACTTTGACTAAAGGTGTAGCAGCGAGGTGTTGGGGTGCCCTGAACTCCATGAGATGTCAGCTCCAGCCAAACTCGAGGCCTGCACCATGATGTTGAACCAACAAGCCCATCTTAGTCCTAAGCAAAAAGACAAGTCTGCGAAGGAAGAGGAAAAGCCTACATTCATGGGGGAAATGCAGTTACTAGATCTGATCATGTCACTGCTGGCCAGGGTCCAGTTTGTTCATGGGAATCCACTACATTTCAATGGAGCATCAACTCAGGAATTCAAAATCCCTGAGTAAAGGTAGAGAATTGTCAGGCACCAGGCTTGGTGTAGAACTGAGAAGAGGTGACCAGAATAGATCAGTTGTCACCATAGTTGTAGCTCTTGCTGGGACTATGGATCCCATCAGGCTATGAGAGGAGAAAGACAGATGGGGATACTCAGCCTTGGTCCCTCAATAATGTTCCACAGTGTGATGACTTGGAGAGCCCCGAGCCTCTCTTACATCTTTCTCAGTCTCTAGTGGAGAATGTGGAGCAGAGGTGGCACCTGAGTTTGCAGCACCTGAAAGCACAAGGCAAAAGTTCGGTCTTTAAAGGCTTTGGGGTGTGTACCCACCCACCCCAACCCCCCACTTCCTGAAGCTGAGTAGTGAGTTTGCTTATCTCCTGCTGCGCTGTTGGTGCCACTTATGGGGGGGGGCGTTACCAGCTGCTACAGAGGGCTAGAGAGTGGAGAGTGTGAGAAGCAGCAGCAGAAGAGGACCTTTTAAATAAGCTGTCCTGTCCCGTCTTGGCTGCTGTCTCAAGTGTGCTGGGAGCAGTTCTCCTAAACTGAGCCAGAGCTGAAGTTCTCATACTCTGTGCATGTGAAAAATGGAGGCAGCTGTTGGAGCCTCTCTCCCAGAGAGAGAGGCAGCATGAGATAAAAGTGACACATGGTCTGTAGACGTGAGGGATTTTTCTTCTCTCAAGTGACTTGAGAGTCAGTCTTTCCACTTAGCTCTACTGTTACCATTAACTAGATTTTCTAGGGACTTGCTCGATGAATTTACTGGCCTCTTTTCTGGGGCAAGCTCAGTCATAAGTAAGAAACGTTCTTCCCTCAGTAATTATCTTTTTCACTGTTTGGATTCTTTTTTATAACAAGGGCCAATTCATCATATTTATTTAGTTGTTAGCTAGTTTTTACACAAGAAAAATAGTATTCCCCTTCTTGTTTTCTGACATCCACACCACACACCAGCTGCACTCACCTTCTTTGATCTGCCATTTTAGCCTGTGGGGTTGGAAAATGTATTAAATTATATTTATGTGTACCTCATTTGTTCTAAAAATATGAGGAAAAAATAAAAGAAAATGAAACAGAATTTGAGAGGTAATTTTTTTGAGAAGTAATTTTTAAAAAGAAAATATGAGTAAGAATATAAAATAGAGTTAAAAATAAAGTTAGTTCCCCCAAAACAGGCCAGAAAGACTATCCACCCTCACATTTGGCTCACCTCATTCTCTCTAACAGCTAACACAAAGAGGGGAATGTGATCAAACCTGTGAATTCTGATGCCCATGAGGAATAAAACTCCAATTGCTCAGGAAACAGCTAGAGACCAGGGGCAAGTTTCTCCTGATTGTCTTCATAAGTAGCATCATGTGGAGAGAAATCGATGTTACAAGAATATTTTTAGTGTGAACACATAGATCCGTTTCACAGTGAGAATTGGAGGCTCAATTGAGGAGCAAAAGAAAAGGCGAGAAGGAAGAAGATGGTGGAAGAGTGTGTCTAGAATGGTTTGTTCCTGAAGAGAAAAAAAATACGATTTCATGTGATAAGAACTAGAAAGCTTATTCCTTCCTCCACCCCTAGCCAGGCTCTAAATGTAGCCACTAGAAAAAAAAATTTAAGATAATGATGATGTTGAGGATTATTTTGCCTCACTTAAAAGAAATAACTAGACTTTTCTCCCTGACAGATGAAGAAGACCAAATAATAGCCAAAATTGTTGAGTTGCTGAAATATTCAGGGGACCAGTTGGACAATGAGGTATGAAGCGTCTGAAATGAATGTGATTTTTTTTTTAATGTGCCCGTGTGGTCCACTAGGTTGGAATACAGCTCCAGTTTTCAACCTTACTCCTTTTCAAAGTTCTGGTTTCCACTTAGTCCTAAATTTTATTTCCCTTGGAGTCAAAATTCTTCATGCTGGCAGAATCTCAAAAATGAATCACTTTGGAAAACATAAGTAAATCTTCTGGGGCCTCCTTGGAATTCTTGGAAACTGGAAAAGTAACTCTGTTATTGTAAGGAAAGATACCAGTACATTAAAAATTGCTGAACAGTATTATTAATCTAGTTCCCTATGTAACTGATCCTTGCTGAAGTTTAGACGCCTACATTTGCCCTCCAGCCTGAACAAGCTGTGTCCTACTGTTGCTTAAAGACTGGCGTCTCTCTGAAATAATCTCCCCCTGCAGTTGCTGAAATGTTCTCCATTTGAAATTTCTCTCAACAACTCAGCCAGGGAGGCCAGTTACTGTAGAGATGTTTGGATTTTTTGTCATTTAAAAGCTGAGGCCCATCGCTCCAATCAGGAGAGTTGCCAGCAGATGAAAAGCTGGAGACCAGGGGCCAGAAGTGATGGCGTAGTTGAGACTAGGACGCCCTCAGTCGGGTCAGCCTGACCGTCACCCATGGCTTACTGAGTACTCCCTGTGGTGGTGATTGTTGGCTTACCACGCATTGGCCTGCAGCAGTGTGGTGACTTCCACATACACACAGACCTAAACTCTACATGGTCTGGACATTGTGGTTTCTCACTGGCTGGTTTTCAGAAGCAGATTACCAGACCTTCCTTTCTAGTCTATTTTATTAGTTTGGAAACTGCTGAATCCTGTTCAGAACATAGCAATACTAAAGGATGCACAAGAGGTACACTGACTAAGAATCAAACCTGATCCTCCCATATGGAAGGAAAGAATCCTACCCCTGAACAAACAATGAAAGAAAAGGTTGTTCAGTTTAATCACTTACATCCTCATGAAATGAATTCACAGAACAAGAATCTTAAGAAGGAAGGTTCAAGTCACAATAGAAAACATGCCTCACACAGCAAAAGGAATAATACTTTCCTCAAATAGAGAAGGAATAAAACAAAGTCAGCTTCTGCTGTGGGGACTGGTCTTCCCTGGCCACTGATTTGCTTCCTGATGGCTAGTGCAGGATAAGTGTCTTATGAACATCCTTCTTGGGCCTCGGGTGAGAGGCCTTACTCTCTTCCTGCTGGGAACAGATATAGAAATGTCCGACTGGTGCTTGTGCATGAGCACGAGGCAGGGAAAGTTACTGTGAATCTAGAACAGGGACGGAGGATTCTCTGATAAGGAGAAGGAACTAAGTATGTGTGAGCAAGAGACCTAATTCTCAGCGTCCTTATCAGAGAATGTTCCAGGTCCAAGATTTCTGCTTAGGTGACCCAGATCAGACTGGTTACATAGATTAGGTGACACAGGCAGAGTGTTTTCCCAACAGCAGATAGATACACAGTCTGGTTTTGTAACATTGGTGTCATGATTGAGATTAAAATCTGGGCTTTTCCACTGGTGCTACAGTAAGTGGCCCACTATTGAGTTAGACAGTTGTTATTATTTTTGGGTTTTTTTGTTGTTATGTGCCATCGAGTTGCCTGAAACTCATAGCGACCCAACAGCCCTAAACCCTGCTCTATCCTGTGCTAATCTTATTGTCTCTGACACACCCATCCCAATTACGCAGTCACTGAATCAATCCACCTCATAGAGGATCTTCCTCTCTTGCACTGTCCCTCCACCTTCCCAAGTATGAAGTATGACGTCCCTCTCCAAGGACTGGTCCCTCTTTACAACATGTCCAAAGTATGTCAGACAAGCCCCAGAATCCTTGCCTCCAAGGAGTAGCTTGGTTTAACCCTCTCCAGGATGAATCTGTTTGTTTTCTTGGCAGTCCATGGTACATTCAATACTCTTCTCCAACACCACACCTCAAAGGCATCAATTCTCCTTCTGTCATCCCTAGTCATAGTGAGACAGTAGCCTTCTGTATTTGTCACTAGTTCCAATTGTTCTACTGAGTGCTTATTTTTTTATACACAGTTGAGGAAAGACAAAGCTTTGATGAGCAGTTTACAGGATGGGCTGAACCACTACTCTGTCTTCAAGACTATCACAGACAAGTTCCTCACAGGTGTGGACACCAGGGGAGAGTCAGAGGCCAAAGCTTGGGGCTTTAAGGCGGCCCTTGCAATAGACATTGCTGCCAAGCTCACTGCCATCGACAACCACCCCATGAACAGAGTGCTGGGCTTTGGCACCAAGTACCTACAGGATAACTTCTCCCCCTGGATTCAGAGGCATGGTGGATGGGTAAGTGCAATCTATTTAAAAATTATTCTTCCCAGAATTCAAAGGGAGATATGAGATGGGAAGATTTTATGGTTATTGTTATTGTTTATATTTTTTTTTCAAGGGAACACATCTCTGTAACAGTTCTCATGGGGTTAGGACATTTGAGTGGCAAGAGATATATCCCATTGGTGGGAACATATTTTTAGTACTTTTCTTTATCATCAACAAATATTTACTGAGTTCCCAAAGGGTACATGGGTATGTGTGTAGGGAAGAATGGTTGGCCAGATGTAACAGGAAATGAGGAATGGTGAGATACAAAATGTTTAGATAAATATAATTTCTGTTTGCACTGACTTTGCAGGCTGCAGAAGTCTGGCCATGACACAGGGGAAGACATAGAGTTTCTTCCTCATTCTCTCAGATGCTGACACCGTGTGCAGCGTACCTTGTGAGGAAATTTAGGGTCCATGGCATCTGTCATTGCTGCTTTAACCCGTAAACAGGATAATTGATTCAAACTAAAAAAGCAAGCAGTTAAAATTTCATTTCTTTGTAATTATTGGTGTCAGCATGTAGATATCTTCGTTCCCACACTTCAGTCTAAGCTCCTCTCCAATCTTCATTCCTATTCCTCAAGGTCTCCTTCCAATAGCCATGTTTAAATGGCTGTGTAAGGTGGGCCTTATATCAAAATAGGCTGCCTATGCTGCAATTCCAAAGGCATGTTGTTCGAATCCACCAGCTACTCTGTTAGAGAAGGATGGGCAGTCTCCTCTCCTGTGATTTACTGCCTCTAAAAACCTACTGGAAGGTCAACTATGGGTCATTTCCAACTCAAAAGTAAAACAATAACAACAAAAGGTTTAAAACCTTAGTGGGCTCAGCACTTTGTTACTCAAGCTTTTCCTGGGAGGACAGGTCTTCACCAACTTAATCTTTACTCTCTTCCCACTAGAGGTCAGCAGGAAATTGGAGTGGGATCTGAGCATGGTCAGAGTGGCTCTTGGGTCTCCAAATAGACTTGGTCCCTTGGCTGCCATCAGCAAAGTGCCTGAGGGACTAAGATGCCTGCAGTGGTCTTCAGCGGCTGCTCCTCAAGCTTACTTAATCTTCTGGGGTTCTTCTTCCACTTTTATGCCTGATAAAATAGCAATTAAGTGAACAGTGATACTCCTAAGTATTTTAAATTCAAACTTCCTTAGCTCATTCTTAGAGGAGAATAAATTCCTCAACATTATTTCAGTTCTGTCCTGCCTCCACATAGAGGTGAAGCCAACATGTCTCTCTGAATTATACACAGAGTTGTACACCTCCAAAGGATGATTCGAATGGTATATGAATTATATTTCAGTAAATCAGTTACACAAAATGTATTGACCCAAATTTTAGTAATCAAACAGAAAGAAGAAAGAATTTAATAGAAATATTTTATTTTTGTTTTGCTGCAAATGAGAAAATAGCACCAGTTAGAGAAAAGAATTTACTTTTTTGGTAAAAATAGTAAAGGAGATGCCCCACTCTGAGTTTTAGAATTTGATGGTGCTTGTTTTTATAATAGTTTTAGTGAACAACATCATAAACCCTAATCTTAATACTTGGGCAAGTTAGCTTCAGTTTGCACATATAAGTGGAAATTCAGAAAAGAATCAACTGTTGTTGTTTTCTTAAAGTGACAGAGAAAAGTTTGAAAGAAACAAAGGCAGATGATGTAAGAATGAGTAGGTGAGGGTTGTGACAGTAAGAGATACGGGTTGGGACATGTGTTCAGGCTCGCTGAACAGTGAAGAAAGAAGTCTCTGGGTGGCAGGCCCTCGTGGCTTTTTGGGCCCCAGGTATTTTAGTCCTGTGCAGTGTCCCTATAGTGGTATGGAAGAAGACAAAACTACCCCAGTGCACAGACTTCTTAGAAGCTCACGGTGCATACTGGTCTCAGTGTTTGATGTTTCATACGAATGCATCTAAACTTCATAAATCCTGAGAGGCCAGGATGCTGAAGCTTTATCTCACATACATTGGGCATGTTGATAGGAGGATCTATTCCTTGGAAAGGGACATGTTTGGAGAAATGGAGGGTCAATCAAAGAGAGGAAGACCTTTAATGAGATGAATTGACTCAGTGACTGCAGCAATCGGCTTAAATTTGTCAGAGATAATGAGGATGGCACAGGATAGGTCGGAGTTCAGATCTGTTCTACATAAGGTAACTCCAGGTTGTACTCAAGGACACCTAACAACAGTCTTCACAACTAAATTGAAAATCACAACTAAATTGAAAATTTTGAGAGCAGATCAGGTTACGTGTGCTTTTTAAAATCTCTGCTACTTTTATATCATGGACATTCAGTTACTGCACAGAGAATACCAAGTAAATGGCTCAGAGAGATGAGCTCCATCTACAAAGCCTGCTATTCATGAGTTTTGTTTTTAAATGGGATTTCATTTATTCTTTGGTCCTTCTCCTCATTCTGCTCACACAGTTCGCCTGTCGTCTTGTGACCTCACCCATTCTACAGCATTGTAGAAGGAGAGGTTTGTAATCTCTACAGACAGTATTTCAGGTCCTACTTTTGTGAATGTTAAATAGAGCATCAAAGCCTTTTCTCATGTTCAAGAACAGCTGCAACCTGTTAGCCGTGGATATGTCCTGTAAGCTCTTAGCTAATATTTTCCTTGTAGGCACATCAGTGGTACCTTTCCAAAGCCTCTTCCAACCCTAGTGGTCTCCAAGCCTTGGGTCACGCCTGGCCTAACAGCAGCATTAACAGGCATATGTTTTCACTTGTACAGTGACTCCAACTTGGAATCTTAAGAATCTATTTCTCTTTTCCCTCTGTAGGAAAAAGTACTTGGGATATCAAATGAAGAAATAGACTGAAACATCAGAAGAGTCATCATCTGGTCCTGTGTACATCAGTTCCAACGTAGACTGTGGAAGAAATAAAATATACAAGGCTGACAAGTACTGACATTTAAAAAAACAAACAAACCCTTACAATGAGTTTCCATGGACCAAGAGGGATCAGGGGAGGCCTTGCTATCTCCAGCTCATAGAATGTAGTAGCTCAGCCCTTGACATTGATGTCAAATACTCAGAACAGTGACCATCATCCTACCTCTGTTGGCTCCCTTAGGGAAAGTCCAGCTGCCTGCTGACCTCATGAGGAAGAAATGATAAATTCTGCATCTGATAATTGTTCAGTTTCTAGTACTATTTATTTTTAAATGAGACTTGGTGGTGGCCTAGTTTAGGCACTGCTTCAAGCCTACTTTTAGGAAGGTATTAATATTTATGAGCCTCATTAACATAAATAGGTGGAGCTTTAAAAGACAGGTCCTAAGTTTATTGCTACCTCTTGTTGGAACCGGTAATGATTCTGCCTTTCTGACTTTGAAAACCACAAGATTGATTAACTTCTATCTGACAGATGACTCCCACCCCCACCCCCCTTCCCTTCTCAGTGGCCACTCCACTGCTCCTTGTCGTTGAGGCTTTTTCATTAGTCTTTGTGGTAGTGTAATGATTAGTAGCTAGTAAAATAAACATGAAGAACACTGCCAAAAGTGTCTTGTGTTAAAATAAGAGTGCCTACATGTAGGGTTTCTGTTGAAGATCTAATGAGTTTTAAAGTAAGCGCTTACAACACTGCTTGCTGCTTCTTCTGTACTCAGTGTTCATTTACATACTTCTATTCCCTGCTGAGGATGCTCCCCTCATCGCCCTGCAAATTTCCTTCCAAGTCATTTTCTGTCTTTGTGAAATTGACACTCAGTGGAATGAGGTGTTTTAGGAAGTGAGATCTGTTCAGCTGTGTTTAAAATATACAAAAACTACTATCCAGCTGTTGTTGTTACATGCCGTTGACTTGCTTGAGACTCATAACTGTTGCAGACCGAGGGTCCCAAAGAATAGAATAAATTTATAATAAAGAGACAAACAGCCAGGAATGATATAGAGCAGAGAGCATGAAAAACAGGGGGCCAACAGTTCCCATGACTGAAGGCACCAAGCCATGTTTCTGAGTATACAGAAAAACAAGGAAGTACAAAACAAAGGATAATGGTGAAATCTTTTACAGATAAGGCCAAGTTCCTCTTTATGTTAATCTCAAGAGGGAGGGGTTCATTTGATAAAAACTAAGAACAGACTGCATTGCTCCCCCCCCCCCCCAGCTCTGAACTTTGGGACTGGCCAAGGGCTGCGCGCAGACGCAGTGAACGGTGGGAGTGGACTTGAATCGGTTCACACCCCTGCATCTCTGACCCACGACCCCCATCTTCAGGTTGCAACACCCACATGATACATCTTCAAGGATATCATGTACGGCTAAGCACAATTAATAACAGTGCATCTAAATTCCAAAATCAATCTCCATAATAGTCTATGCGTTTCTTACTGCCAAAGGGGCCCTTTAGAGTAGTGAGAGAAGATCTTCACCCTGAAACCCACACCGTCCCTTTTCAGCAGGAAGTAGCTGAGAGAATACAACCATCCCCTTTTCCTTATGAATAAGGGTGAAGTCTCTCTCAGGGAGGAGTGATAGGGAATGGCAAAGGATGCACTGACAAAGGAGATTTATCAGAACTGACTTTGACAAGCACTCTGGCAATTGGACAATTAAAACAGACATTTGGATGGCCGGGGAAGAAGAACAAACTGGGGAGGAGGGTAGAGAGAATGGTGCAGCAATGAAGGAATGAAAACCCAAAATCCCTGTAAATGTTCATTAAAACTAATAAAATTTAATAATAATTAAAAAAAAAACAACTAAGAACAATATTGACTCCTAAGGAATGCCCTAGTGTCACAAGGTGACCTTCAGCTTGTATTAAGCCTCCCTCGTTTCCCGATACAGCATTTGGTCTACTATTATTAATTTTGATATTCGGCTTCCCTCACATAACAACCCTAAGAACAAACCCCGCTCTAAACCCCGCTCTTTCCTGTGCCAATCTCACTGTCTCCAACATGCCTATCCCCGTTACCCCAATTATGGAGTCCAAAAAGTCCCTGGATACATCACATGTATCCCCAGCCAGCACAGACTCACTGCTGTCAAATTGATTAGACTCCTGGTAATCCTCCACCAGGTTTCAGACTGCCTCTTCTCTGTCCTGTGGAGCAGTTGATGACTTCATGCCGCCAACCTCTCAGTTAGCAGTCTGGTATGTCACCCATTAGGCTCCAGACTCCCCAAGCTGTACAGGTGCAGAATGAAACTTTGATAAATGAGCAAATAACTAAATCAATTAGACACACTTTCAAGTTCAAGGGGAAATGAAGCCTATCTGTGACTCCAAGCTTCACTCAGGTCTTCTCTTTGACTTTACTTCTTTCCCCTACACTAAATGTCAAATGTTAGGGATAAAGATAAAAGACACTGAGGCTCACCTCTCCTTGAACTCTGATCCACTTATTCCAAATGGTTTGCAGTTCCCAAATGCAGCCTTATGTCTCTATCAGAACCTTCACAAAAATATTTTAGTGTTTTGTAGTGTTCTCGCATCCTGGTCCCACTGTTCCAATTACCCACCTCCCTTGCTACTCATGCAACTAATGCCAACCCTTTTCAAATTCACTCTGGCATTTCCTCCATGATTTGTTAGCCTTCCTTTCGCTACCATGAGGCTGTATCTTGGCATTTTTCTCATAAGGATATTTCATACCTCTTAGTATAGCTCTCTTTCTTAATTGTTGTCAATTGAGAAGATACTCATAGCTGACCCTCCATTGAGTTTCTGAGGCTATAAATCACCTGGGAGGAAATTGCTCATCTTTTTCCCTCAGAGCAACTGGTGGATTTGAACTGCCTGAGAGTTTTGGCCTTTGGGTTTACGGTACAACTCCGTATGGGATAGGCCACTAGAGTTCCCTTCTGGTTATGTAACACTGAATTGGAACCGGCTCATAGCTGGCCCTCCAGCAGGTTTTCAGAGGTGGTATATCACATGGGAGGAAGACCCTTGATGAGATGGATTGATTCAGTCTCTGGGGTTGTGTTGGAGACAATAAGATTGGCAAGGAATAGAGCAGGGCTTAGGGCTGTTGTACATAGGGTCGCTATGAGTTCAGGTGAATCAACGGCACAGAACAACAACATATAGACACTACTTCAGGAGTGGGAATCTCTCAATGGCAGTAAATATAGTTTTGATTTATCCTAAGAACTAAATTATTTGGTAAGCTCTTTTCTATGCGATCAGTTGATTCTGACTTGTAGTGCCCTACAGAAACAACAGAATGACCCTGCAAAGGTTCTGAGCTTGCAAATCTTTACAGAAGCAGACTGCTGCAGTACCTGGGAAATGACTGTTTTGAACTTTGAACTGTTCGTCATTCAGTTAGCAGCAGAGAGCTTAACCATTAGCCATCAGGGCTTCTTGTAAACTCTTTCATAAACAAGCACTATATCTAAGTTCACGTCACATTACCTGTGCCTGACACGCAATTGCAGAACAAAACCACGGCGTCACTAACTGCTAATTTAGTACAATAATAATGTGTGGAGTTTTGACATACTCACCAAGTTAAAAGTTAACATTTGTAGTTTCTGGCAAGTTGAAGTAATAGGAACTAGATTTATCAACTGCTTAAAACAATTGAAAAAGAAAATATATGAGCAAGTTTTCAGGACACTAGGCATCAGGTAATGAAGAACTGCTATTTGAGTGAGAAAGGAGGTGAGTCCTAGGATGGTCCCAGGGGACAGCTTGTGGAGGGTCCCAGCTACACAAGGGAGGGGAACCCCTGAAGAGCTCCAGTCTCAGCTCCAGACACGTGGAGCAAATGGTAGACCTTGGGGTCCAGGAAGGCCCTGGTAGGCAACAGAGAGAAAGAGTCACCTGAAGCTCCCTCCTGAAGAGGGTACCTTTTTTTTTTTCATATACTACTTTATTTACAAAATTCAAATACACTGTTTCTCATACCAGTTCAGAGGATACCGCTTAAATGATCTCCTGAGACTGACGCAGGGTTGGGAAGAGACTGAGAAAAATTGGATAAATTATGTATACTGCTTTGAAATAGATGAGGGAGAGAACAGTTTAAAAGTGATGTATGATAGGGTATTATGGTTATGACAAGAGTCCAGAATGAAGGTTTCATAGTTGAGTGTACCCGAGGAGAAGAAGGGGATGGTATACCAATGAAGGAATTTTTTTACATTTTTTTTTTTTTGGAATTTTTTACTTTTCAAGAAGAGGAGTGAACTGGGAAGGGGAAGGTTGGGCAGGGAGAAAAGTGCAACAATCAATGAATGAATGGAAATCCAAAATCTTTGTAAATGTTCATTAAAATAAAATAAATAAATAAATAACTATCTATAAAGAAAAGAAAATTAAAAAATCATCTCCTGAGTACTGATTATGAAGAAATTACCTGACACTTCAGAAAGGACCATCTGAAAAATTTAAAAGGAACACTTTTTAAAAACTTACACAAGGTCAGCAGTAGTGCCTATTTCTGCCAGCCAGAATGGGAAACATAAAAATGTGCGTGAAATGGAATCTCTGGTGAAGTGGCACTTCAATCCCTAAAGTACATGGTTCGAGGCCACTAGCCACTCTGTGGGAGAAGGATGGGCAATCTCACCCCATGTGATTAACTGCCTCTGAAAACCAGCCAGAGGATCAGTTATGGGTCAGTTCCAACTGTGCACAACAAGAACTTGGGTAGAATCCTCAGAATTATGCCTCAACAGTAGGAACTAATTAGCCCCATCCAACAAAGCTTAAGAGCAAAAGCTGAAAGACTTGAATTAGCAGTTTCTGTACCAAATATACTGGCTTTATTTGTATTAGCTCCAGATTGGACACAGACCAAATGTCTGTCTGCAGATGAATGGATAAATAATTGTGGTAAATCCATAAAACAGCATA